TCAACTTAAGGACAGACCTTGGGAATGGAACTCGTTCTTAAACTGGGGACTACCTGTATTTAATAGAGATGGGAAAGGTAACTTCTTCAACATTTTGGGAACATATTGTAATGTAAAAAGTATCAGAAAGGGCTACCATGAGGTAATACAGTAGACATGGCCATTCACAAAATACCCACCTCCCAGAAAGTAAATGGTGAGACTGCTCTCATTTCTAGTTTCCACCTCTTTTTGTTCTACACTGATTTCTCAACAAAGCACTGTTTGGCAGCCACCCATTATTTTTACTTTCTATATGGCCTAGAAGCATTCTTGAAATAAAAATAATGATGAAGGCTAACACTAGACAGCAAGCCAGCTTTCTGCCATTGCTTTAATTAAAGGATTATTTTTTTGGTAGAAAACAGCCAGATAGGAAAGAAATTTGACAGGCACCAAAGTGTTCATGGTCATCTTGGCGCTCATGGCTACCATGCAGCCTCAAAAAAAAGTACACTTTCCTTCAAGTTGAGCTTGACTCCTGATTACTTCAAGGACACGTCTGTGTAGTCTTGTTGACTACTATGAAGTACAAGACAAACTCTGTTGGGAATAGAATGGTCTGACAAATATTCAGACATTCCTTTTTAATCTCAGACCACCCTGTTTCAGCCAGTGTGAGGGCTTTCTAGAAATCAATCTTCCAGAACAAAAAGCCTCCTGATCCTAGCATGTTTGGGTGTTCCCACTAAACACTTTAGTGTTATTCTTGAATATGTGAACCTCTCCAGCAGGAGAAAAAGCTGTTCCCTTAAAGACAAGTGACAAAGCAGGAAATGACTTACCCCATCCCACATTCAAATTGGCAGCAAGAAAGCAGATCTTCAGCAGAAACCTCCACATTCACCTTGCCGTTAGTATGGACACAAATCCGATCCGACATGGCTTCGACTGCACCAAATGCCTACAGAGGACAATCCAAAAGTTCTGGCAGGAGCACTCTGAGACATACAGACCGTCCCCACCCCCATGTCCAACCACCACCAAGCAAATGCACTGTAGCCCCCCTGCCCCATTACATTAATCTCTCTTTCTCACTGAAAGCTCTTCTGGATTTCTTTGGGCGTATGCACACTGATGCTTCATAATGGAAGGAGGTCCCCTACACAAATTGACCATTTTTAAGCCCCAGTTCTTCACAGTGCTGGAAAGAGCAATTTAGGCCTAGGAATCTAAATTAAAGCATCCCTGACAGATGGCCCTCTAACTTTTATTGGGCCCATCTACAGAAAGGAGCCCACAAACTCTTCAGATACTTGGCTTTGTTGCTGTACTGTTCACACTGTTAATGAAGTACTGGAGAAACGCTTAATGTCATTCCTGGTCATCTGGGTTAGAGGAACTTGAAAGAACTTCACTCTGGCAGAACTGTACCCACCCTGATTACTAGGCAGTTATATGGGGGCTGCTTTTTTAATAGTCCAATGGTACCTATGATACATAGTGACAAAGTACAAAAGTAGCCATATCCTATGCTTATCCTTGGTTTATGCCCCCTTTTTTTACAGCAGCAGCAGCCACTTTTATTGCCCATGTTTTTGGAGTAGGTTATGGCAAGTACATGTAAGGTTTTCACCCAGAAATTTGAAAAAGCCTATACAATCAGAAGTTAAATAGGCCAATAGATGGTCATACTTATAGGGCTGAATAAGAACTCATATATACATTGGCTGTGTTAACCATCATACTAAGCAATGGCTTCTTTTAGCCATAATTTACTGAATATGCCACAATAGCTGTGTTCACCCCAAATGGATTAGTGTCATGCATGAATTTAGCCAATATGCACTTTCTTCAAGCATTGGATGCTTCTGTTAAAGCTGGAGAACTGGATGTCAACCACCAGATCTCCTGCTGAATTCTGGATGTGGTAAAGGTACTATGCGCATACCCGTTTTGTATCAATTTCTAGATTTAGGAAAGAAACTTACCCAGCAGGAACCACAAGAGCCTTGGTCTCTGATTTCACCAATGGTTGGGCAGTTTGGCCATTGTTGCCTCGAGTCAAAGCTGTCTGGCAAGACCAAATCAGCAGCAAATTCAAACCTTTCAAAAAATAGGGAAGACGTTGAGACAGAAAAAGAGACAGAATCGTGCTCTAATCTAATTAAGTGAGATCTTTTCAACAAATGTCTTTGGATTTAATCTCTTATGCCAGATCTTGGTTTTTGCTTCCAGCATGTTGACAAATTACTAGCACACTCATGATTCAGAGTCCACAATGTATATAGATGGGATCTATTTAATACTTCAAACATTAGTCCTCATGGACATAGAAATATTTTGATCTGGAACTACATCTGTCCAGATTAATCCATTCCAGTAAGGACCAAGACTATCAACAAGTTACTATTGTAGCTTTTCCAGTAAGGACCAAGACTATCAACATCACTATTGTAGCCATCAAAAGTTTTGAAAAGTGTGTGTGTGTATACATGTACACACAAATGCAACTAGCTATTACAGGCACCTAAACATAGTGCTTGAAGTCACTGCCACGTGTGTTATATCCTGTTCCTAGCTCTTTTATTAAAAAAAAAGAGATAAAAACATAGGAAAGCTGTCTAATATGAACTCATGCTGCTGGGTCTACCTAGCTCAATGTTTAAATATAAAAGTAGTAACAACAGTTCTGAATTTCAGCAGTGGTGTCTCCCAGCCCAACTGAGAGACAATAGCTCTTGAATTAAGACCTTCTACATGAAAAGCAGTTGTTTATCACTGACTTAAACTCTTTCTTTTATCTCCAGTGGCAACTTTAGTACAACTGCCGTCAAGAAACCATTCCTGAGAGCAGAAAGCAAGACAGTCCCTATCTGGAGAGTCCATACGTAGCAGGATTATAAGCAGAGAATATAAACACACCTTTCTGGCAGTTTGGGGCCATGCAAGAAGGTGCCACACAATGTCTTCACGTAACTCATGTCAGCATCACGAAAGTTGTGTCCAGCCTTTAAGAAAGAAAAAATAACAATAAAACCTAATGGAATCCAGATCTTCCACCCCATCTGCAACTACCATTCACTAATCAAAAACATGACTTTGCAATTCTGTGTACAAATGAACTGACGGTTTAATAATCAACATACACCATTTCTTTATGGCAGGCAGAGATAAAATATATGTTTGAATGAAAGACTAGTTTCTCTTTCTCTGCCCCTGCTAGTAATTTACCTTTAAAGCAGGAAGTTTGCTTTAGGTTTATGAAAATACGTTAACAGAAAGAGTTCAGTTTTTTTTCCTTAACTAACTTGGGACTTGCCTTAAACTCAGGATAACCATTTGGGGTAAATATGGTATTTGCCAGTCAACTCGCAGTTTTAAAATCTTGGTTACTGTTCTCAATGAGAGGCTACTGGCCACAACAGAAACTGAAGCTGATGACCAAGACCAAGAGATAGTGTCCCAAGGAGATGACAACAGAACAGCAACTCAGCAAGCAGCATCTGGATTGTACCAGCTCAATTAGGGGTCTTGTTTCTTTAGCCAGTAGTATGGTGAGGGGTGGGGAAGAGGGAGTTAATAAGCTTGGGTAACAATAAAGAATAAGATGCTTTATAGGCCAGAAAGGAAAATGTCACAGGTTTTCCACTCTATGCCAGGTCAACAAATGGCCTCTGTAAGCGAGATCAGCCCACTAATAGTGCTGAGCTGTATCTCAGAAGGCAGCCAGACGCCAATTCCCACCACCCTATGTAGCTGATCTCTACCCCAAAATTTACTCACCTTCCATGTAGTATTGAGCTTATTGATGTAGTTCACTAAGTCATGAGAGAGGGGAGGGAAGTGGGGAATGTTACGGGCACTTGTGAGGACCACCAACAGGCCCAGAGTTACTACAGAGCACCTCATTTTGATAATGGATGCTTAAGATGCTACCTGGGAGAGAGAGAGAGAGAGAGAGAGAGATTAGCTATTTACACAGTTGCAATGTTACCAAATATTAGTCCCATAAAGAGATCCAAATGTGGAACATGAGCAAAACAGCCGTGTCTTTTCCTGGGCTTCTGCAGCTGCTCTCTGCACCTGACAGCTGATCCTATGAAAACAGGTATCTGATTTAAGGTAATTCCTGACAGATGCTGCATGCACTCCAAATCCAGCTCTCTGCAAGCACTGCCAGACTTATATGAACAGGAAAGTTGCCACGCTTTCTGCCCTGAATGAATGAATGAATGAATCTATGAAGAGAATTTCATACACGACAAACAATCTAGAGAGAGTGAGCTATGAACTCATAAAAATGTCCAATTCCATGGCACTCTACAGTTCATAAAGAAAGGTCTTCCTCTCAATGGGAAAAACTTAGCTAAGAGGGAAATACAGTCTGCTATACGTGATGCAACTCTTTGCCCAACCAGAAAACAGAGGTTAATTAGTCATAAGAGAAAATACTCCTACGTTCACTCTTGAAGTGACTCAGGATGGGGAGAAATGCAAGCCTATTCCTTTCTAGGGTCAAACCACAGCATCTGAAACAGAATCATGCAGTACACCGCACCAATTAGATTACCCTCTCCCTGGAAGTCAATGACAATGGTTTTTACTTCAGAAAGGTAGAACATTCATGCCATGGCAGTACACCAAGAACTTACTGAAAGTTGCATCTCGTTCAAACTGTGAAACCAAACTTGCCTCTTTATGGCCTACATGTTATACAAACCCAGCCAGTGTACTTTGTAAACCATGGCTCATGGGTTTGCATGCTGTGAGAATACAGCCATTTGTAGTCTGTTCAGTAAATAATGGTTATTTAACTCATGGCTTTGCATGTTGCATGACCCGTCATCTTTAAACACTGTTACTCCATTGTTTAATAAAAACGATGGAGCATTATAGTATCAGGGCATTATAAAGTTATATCAGTCTTCATTTGTATAGACAACCTGATTCAGATGGTACAGCAGAAGACAAATGCCACCTGGTTGATCCCGAAGCTATCCTAAGCAACTCTGCCCAACTCAAAACCTTACTGCTGGGATATAAATGTTCTCAACCCTTGCGTTTTTCTTCTTTTATAGAATTTCAAGTAGTTATGCCAGCTGTTTGACCTAGAAACATATCATGAAACCGCTACCAAATTCCTGCATTTCAAAGACACTGGTCAGCTGATGAAAAGAAACAAACAAAGAAACCCCAAACCCTCCCAAAATAAAATCCTTCCAACCGTTAAGTAAACAAAAGTCATGGATCACAAACTGGAGAATGCTACAATACTGCTACAATGCTTACTTCCTTCACTTCTTCTTTTGCAGACGAAATGCCTGTTTTCCACCTATTGTTTGTTGTTTCTTGAATTCTTTCAGGATAGATTCAACCGTTCATAACTAATACTGAAGTGTGTGTGTGGCGGGGAGGGAGCATGAAAGAAAACCAGATGCTGCAGCAAGTCCTTCAACTAGTTCATTTAAAACAACAGCAGAAAAGAGCCTCCCGTTTCTGCAAACTTTTGCATAATTACTGAAGCTCTACGTTAGCCATCTCACCCACTCACACCCTTGAGAGGGCTAGAGTCTCGTAACTAAAACCAAACTAATAAGACATGCCTAGATGTGTCTGCATCTTAGAGAAATTCAAATCCTTATTCAGCCACAAAGCTCACTGTGTGCCAATGCCCAGCTCTGTATCGAGAGAAGGACCTCCATACATAAAATAGTGAGCTAATCTGAGAAAGGATGGGATACAGGTGTGACATACAGCCATTTTACATCACAAATGTCCATGGGATATGGGGAGGGGGGCTTCCTTGGACATTCATTTGATGCGTCACAAAACTACAAAAAGTGTTAGTTGCGTCATCATGAATAGGACGGAGAGGGGAAGACGAGACAAAAGGCCAACTTAGATAAACAGAAAGAAATCTGGTTGTGCCTCTTTCCTCTTCCAATATAAAACAGTAGCTGCCAACTTGGAAGTTATTACTAATAAAAGACTTTGGACATGTTTATGGTTAATTTGTTTCAAAAGTTGCGGGGCTCGTTAATCTCACCCAGCAAGAGGCAGTTGGAACTTGCCATTCATTAAAGTGTCACTTCTTTCCTGTCCACTGTACAACTTGCATAAAGCTTTCTAGAAACACAAAATGTCCCAACCCTTCAAAAACAGGACAAACTGGAAGCTGCCCAGGTCAGAGGCCCCTGTAACCTGTCACATTTCTTTTGTCTTTTATGCATCAAAATTGAACTTCCAAGAACCTGGTTTCCTTTAACAAGGGAAACTAGGTTCTTTAACTGAGGTGCAACTTCCAGCAGCTTCACCCAACATGGTCAATTCTGGTCCTTGCATGCTGGCTGAAGATTCTGGGAGCCACAATCCCAAAACATCTGGGGACAAGAAAGGCCACTTTGAGGTCTGCCCACTCTGCCTTTCAGGACAGTTTTGTTGTCATTGTAAACTAGTGGGGAATTCTGGGAGTAGAAGTCCACATGTCTTAAGTTGTCAAGTTTGAGAAACACTGTGGCAGACAAACATTCTGTGGGCGGCTATGGCAGGGTGATGATAAGAAACTGGTGCAACCAGGATTTTCTGATTTTTAAAAACTGGCTTTTGGGGGAGTTTACAGTTTTCTTTGTTTTATAAATTATGATAAATCAAGTTAGGGTATATTTTATATTTTTGGGGTCTGTCCTACCTCAAAATGGGAAGAAAATATGCTACTAGTTTCTGGCCAACTGTAATCAGGTGTGGCTCCAGGCACCAGATGTGGCATGCAAGTTGTCCATCACTGCTGTACCCTTTCTTACTGAAAGATCCCTGCTGTACTTCTTGAAGTCAAACTCTAAAGTTACTCTAGAAGACTGATAATTGCTGCAGAGGTCCTACAAATGGGAATTAGCCAAAATTCATAGCCACCAGGGCCTGGATCCAGCAAGAGAGAAGAAACAAAAGTAAATTCTGGTATTATGTTAATTCCTGGAACCCTTTGGACCAATTCCTGGAATGCCCTCAAATAATGTGCTCAGTCCTGCATTCTAAGATTACTATTTCTTTTGCAGACCATAAGGAAGAAACCAACATTTCAGATCTTACCCCAAGACTTGGAGGCCATGGCCACACACAACCCAAAGCAGGATTGACACTGCAAGGTTAGCACACTTCAACACTAGATTTTTTTTTAAAATACTGAGCTTGGTTAGCAATCTAAAAAATGGTGCTAAGTTCCTACATTCCCAAACAAACTCTGGCCTACCCTCCACACTACATTTCTTCGTAAGTCTAGCCAGAGTTTAACTCTTACAGGCTGAGTACTGAACATTCCCATTGAATTTCCCCATATTTTATCGCACCTAAAACCATCTAGATCAATTTCCCCTTATTCCCCCACTCAGTAGGAGAATCTGCAGCCATATTCTACCTTCTACAAGGCTGCTAAAGGTCAACATCTACATTATACAAGTCATTCTTCATTTTAAAGTGGGAACATGCTAGCATATATTAACAGGAGACCACTTGAACAAGAAACAAGTTGTTGTTGACCTTCCTATTTCAGGGAAATTGCATCACAGCTCGCTTACAAGCCAAAGCACTAGTTCTGTCTCTAATTCAAGTCTCTGTAGAAAGGAAAAATACTAGAAAATCTCTTTGTGTTATCAGACTCATGCTAAGGGCTATTCCTTACAGTTCTTGCCCCTAACCAAAGCACAAACATGCCCAAGCAACCTCTTTTTTTTCCTGCACATCCTCATGGCATTGCCCATCTCATCCTCAGCCCATACTTGAAGGAGCTTTAAGTTGTTCCAGAGTTGAAGTAATCTTTTCCCTCTTATCCTAATGTAGTATTTACACCTAATACAAACTGACACAATTCCCTGTTTTGTCAGTGGCACAGTCAGGTGATCCCTGGAAGGGGTGGTGGTGGTGGAATCAATTCAGCTTCCATCTACTTGGGGCAGAAGAGTCCAACTCTTGTAAACCAGACTCACTCTCTGCACCAAATCTCTGACTCAGAAATAAAGTGAACAGAGGCTGACCAGCACTCGTTCTCTCTGCTGCTCCAAGGTGCAGCTTTCCTCCTACTTGAGCTGATCGGCTGCTATTCAAGCTCCTTGTGAATGTGGCTTTGGCACTCTTTTCTCCATTGGCAGAGAAAGGCTGCATCTTAACATGTCCCCCATTCCCTTCTATGAAAATGCTAAATCCATGTTCAAAAGGAGTCTGAATAACAAATGATGAGGGGGCTGTTTAGTTCTCCCTTCCCCACTTCACCATGCAGTCCCCCACATGCCAGTTATTTGTTTAACTGGCCTCCTTCTGAATGTATCCCTGCAAAATACTTGTTCAGAACCAGGAGCTGGTTTAGTCCTCGGTCCAAACTGTCATCTAGCCCAGTCCCAGCCCCAGCCCCATCCCTCATTAAGGAGAATGACTGATGCATGGTTTCCCACTGGTTGGTGACCTTTGATGGGAGGGAAGGGCAGGAAAGCAAAGCCAGGCCCAGGGCATCCATCTAGTCTTTGATGTGTTCTGCACGCATAGTAAATAAGGATGATCCCATTTGGTACCAATTCTGAACAAGCAGGATAAGGATCAGCAGTGAGAAAGCAAATTCTCCCCCCAGTACAGTTTTCTGCCAGTTCAACAAAGTGTGGATAGGATTCAGCATCCAAAGCCTCCCCAGGAAGGGGGTCAACCCTTTCTGAAATGCAATGAAAAGGTGACGCCATCTCCCCTTCCCCTTTGGTGGTTTGCTGTACTGGTCTTTCCAAAGTTATCTTCCTGCAGGAATAGCAAGCAATAGATATCATTCTTTTTAGCTGGCATGCATTTTGATTTTTTAAAAAATTTGGAAACCTTAGGATTAGCATGCTTACTTTCCTTTTAGGCATTCAATACAAAAGAGTGGAGACTTGCACATCTGCAGCGCTAATCACTTTATAATCCTACAAGAATGCAAAATCCTGATTAAGCAAAGGTAACAAAGAGATCCAGAGTGTCTTGAATAAATGAGGGATCTTACACCATTCAGCTAATGTAAATTAAGTTAATTTACCAGCATACAAACTTCATTGGGGAGCTCCTTGTGAAAAGGCTTGGCTAGGAGCAGATCCCTGGTTCTGATTTCAACTTCAAGTCCCATACAGCAATGAACTCACTCCTCCTTCATTCCCCCATTGGTCTCCCACAGACCAATTACTGTGCTGGCTGGAGGTAACAGGAGTTCTACTCCTATCATATCTGAAGAGGAGAGGATGGGGGATGGTTATCCTAA